AGCGGATAGTGGGGGGGGGAAAGGGACAGGGAGATCGGGGTCAGGCCGGGGAAAGATCGTCGGGGGTCGGGGGGGAGAAGGAAAGAAGAAGAGGAGAAGAAGAAGAAGAAGAAAAAAAAAAAGAAGAAGAAAAAAAAGAGAATGAAGAAAAAAAAAAAAAAAAAAAAAAAAAAAAAAAAAAAAAAAAAAAAAAAAATTGTCGTCGATTACTTATCTGCACAGAGGTAGCAACGACGATGACGAGGATGGCACGGCGTGGACGACGGGCACGGCGATGGCGACGTGACACAATGACGACGATCGCGACGGTGACGATGATGACGTGGTACGACGACGACGATCGTGACGATGACGATAATGACATGGCACAATGGCAATGATCACGATGATGATGTGGCACTACGACGACGATCACGACGATGATGCTGATGATGGCCAGGTGGTGACGACGAAGCAGGGTGGGTCGGGCGGGTTCGAACCGCTCCGATACCAGTGTGAAGAGTGCGAGGCTGAGGGAAAAAAGGAAGAGCCGAGGGGGAGGAGAGAGAGAGGGAGAGAGTGAGCACACACACACACACTCACTCACTCGACACGACCGAGGGTCGGACGCAGACACTGTGGCAAAAGACACAAAGTCGAAGTATTGGATTCCGAATGCCGGAACAGGAGCAAGTCACACTGAGTACGAGCACAGCAGCTGAAAACTGGTGCAAACTGATCCCCGTACCGTACGGGGAGCCGGTATAAGTACCGATGACACGTACGGTACCAAGGGCATTTATGCAAAGGTCCCGAGGGCAGAACTGAAAAATGCGGTATTTGAAAGTGGCGCCCGAATTGCAGCATGGCGCCAGTTGTCCAAAATCCTACGGTACCAAAGGAGGGGTTTGGAAAAAGGGTGTCAGGCCGAAAACGGGATGCAGCCGAAACAGCAAAAAGATAGACCAGGAATCGATCCCTGGCGGAGTCCGTAACATTCACCTTATCAGCTATGACCGCTCCCTCCTTCATCAGCTTCTTCTTTGCTGCATGCTCCTTCCTCTTCTAGGTCATCACTTGCTGTGTGGCCCCTATGCAAGCTTCCAATGCAGCCATCTGCTCTTCTTCTCCCTCCAGCGCCAGCAACACCCTATCATCCCCCTGCTCACCTCCAGTGTCCTCTCCTTCTGTAACCCAAAAGTCTCTATCCAATCTCTAGCTTCTTCACGAATGCAGCCAGCAGGAGGGATACAACGGCTTGGTGCAGGCACATCTACCTTGGTTACCTCATTCACCCCCTTCTTTTCCTCCAATTTTTCTTCTTTTTCTTCTCCTTCTTCTTATTCCTCTTCAACATTCTCCACGCCCAACTTCTCCTCCAATTTCCTCTTCTCCTCCTCCAATCTTTGCTTCTCCTTTTCCCTTTTTTTTTTTTTAATCCTCCGTTGTCTGAGTCAAAATCCCCTCCACCCTCTTCCTCTCCTCCTCAATTAGCATCTGGGTCTCTGTTCCAGATTTGGCCACCACGGCCATGCTAATCATCCGGAAGAAACCTAGGGGAAAGAAGAAACGGACCAAGGGTCCCCAGAGCACGGAGAGGGCGAGAACGGAGAACATGGGATAGTCGTCCATTGTGAGATGTCAGTACAACAGGTATGTCTGTCCCACCTCCTCACCACTTAGACCTAATCTCAAAACTTATAACCTCAACACTTATCCTAACCTAATTTTGGAGTCTGACCAAACTAATTTCCCTTCCGGATGTTACTACAGCTCCCCTAGCAACTGGTGGTCGACCAGCAGTTTAAGGTCTGCCAGCAAGGATCTCAGGACTTATTTATCGATGCAGTCAGGACGTCATGGCCACCAAATCTGAAGGTTCACTCTCAAGACCGAAGAGCTCCTCATCGCTCTGCCCGGTTCGGTTGCACGCCAGTCACTGGGCTAGACAGGTTGTTTAACGAGTGCCTGTCGCTCATGCCTGTGCTCCCTACTGCGCAGGTAGTGCCTGCAGCTGCCGAGCTCCTACCCTAGACCTAAAGCATACGCTCGTCTTTCACTCTCATGGGGATAGAGTACGAGCTCCTACCCTAGACCTAAGCATACGCGCGACTTTCACTCTCACAGGGATAGGGTCCCACTGGGTAAACATACCTCCAGGCAGGCCAACAACCGTCCAGGAGAGATTGGCACTCTGACTGACCAATCAACATGCAGAATGAGTGCTGACTCAAAAAGAGATGACATCAACAAAAATTAACTTGCAGCAGCCGTCACCAAGAAAGTTGCATGGAGAATTCACAAAAACAAACAAAAAAATCTCAACAGGCAGAGCTAAGGGCAGAACCACTTCACTCGGTACTTGCTCCCCGCCTGTCTTCGTCGCCTGCACGTACGTAGGTCTTGCTCCCAACCCTAATTCTCACCCCTTCTCCTTCAGCCTGCCCTCACCAGTCATACCGTTATACTTCATACACCAGCCAGCCTTATGCCTTGCGGGCTTTCTTCCACAACCGCAGTGCAACGGGCTCCAGCTCTGATACCAGTGCAATGAGCCTCGCCATTCCAAACCAATCCGACATGCACGATAAGAGCATTGACATGGAAGTTCAAACCAGACTCGAGAGATGACACAAGCATTAGCGCCTTATTGAATTCCACTCGAAAACATGATATAATACAACTGGAGAGTTGAGATGTCCAGCGGCCTTGGCCGCGACCCAACACCAAAACCCGACTTCAGGACGGTACCCAACTCCCCCTCTCTCGATGTCTGACTCCCTCTCTCACTCTCTCTCTCTCCCTCTATCTATCTATCTATCTATCTATCTATCTATATATATATATCGTCACAATATATATATATATATATCGTCATATATATCGTCACAAACAGAACTGCCCGGTAAACTGTTGGCAGAGAGAGAGAAGAGGACAACAAACGAGGGGCTGTGACAAACTGTTTATCTATACATATATATATATACAATATATATCTTCCACCGAGCTATAACGCTTCAACCTACGGACCCTTAGACTACTTTTACCAGGCCAGCCTGGGACAGGGAGAAGCTGGGACCTTGGGAGTGGGACTTTTGGGGCTGACTGCATTAAATCCTTTCAGCACCACCAGATTGCTCGGTACAAATAGGAAATAACGAGTACCACTATTCTATTATTCGTCTTTGGGGAAATGGAGCAAAAATCTGTAAATACTACCAATAAAATTAATAAATTCAATCAGTCAAAAATGCAAAAATGCAAAAATGCAAAATGGCAAAATTTCTAAACTGCGGCCTGTAACAATACGCAAGTACCAATGAAATCACTGGAAAACGACAAAAAGTGAAAATTTTGACCTCTACTAGGTATTGTGATGATCAATCAAACAACCTAGCTAAATTTTGAAAAAGCTACAGACCGTATCCACCATATCCAAACACCAAAAATGCGTAGACAGGTGGAAAACGCTGAGGTAAAAGAAGGGGACACAAGAAAAGCAGAAGAGAGAGAGAGAGAGAGAGAGAGAGAGAGAGAGAGAGAGAGAGAGAGAGAGAGAGAGAGAGAGAGAGAGCAAAGGGAAAAGGAGCCTCTCCGGATCAAGAAAGAAGAAGGAGACAATGGGTTATTTTTGGAACGTGAAGGAATGAAGAAAACTAAAATAAAACCAAATAAAAGAATTGTCACTTACATTACAAAGCAGAAACCGCAGGGTGTCTTTGTATTCTTATCAAGCCCCATAATTATCCGTTTGATCTCACCCGTCCGGGAAAACACCTCATAGATTTGTTCTTCCGTTGTGTAGAATGATAAATTGCCAACATACACAGTGGTTGAGGTGCGCAGTGCTACCTCAAACTCTTCTTGCGTTCCTTCAAATCGACGGTCACGATACGGTGACAGATTATCCACCGCCTGCATAACGCCACAACATACGCACAAATACATCCACGGTCACACAGATAGAAAAAGGGGTGTGTAATGACCCACCAAAAACACAGACTGAGAACACTGCTGATTTCTGGGATTTGCCGCTGGAATGAATGCCTTGCTGAGATTCCCGCATYCTGCKGTGRTTTCCATGTCTGTGTGTGTGTGCGTGCCTGCTGGTTTGCATGCCTGTCTGAGTGCTTGTCGGCTGAGTGTGTGTGTGACCCGCAAGGGTACTTGTTGGTTGAAAGGCCCCGCAGGGCCGGTACTTACCTGTGGCCGTGACTTTGAGGGTTGCAGCGTGGAAAACACTCAAGTAGCGGGGGTAGGCCCGCGACACTTAGAGCAGAGGGGAAAAACACTCAAGTAGCAGGTAGGCCGGTACCACTCAAGTAGTGGTAGAAGTGTCGGGTACTGGAGGCCGAGCAGAAGAAGACTTTAAGTTGGCATCTTTAGAGGCCCAGTAGCGGTAGGCTAGAGGTAGGCCGGTACCAGTCCAAGTAGCCCGGGTCTAGGGCCTGTCCGGAGGATAGCAGAGCCTGCAATGATGTTTCCCTCCGAAAGGGAGGGGGTACCGGTTGCTGGGAGGCCGCTCGGCCTAGGAAGTCACCGCCCAAGAGGCCAGTAGGCTGCTATATCTTCGGGTGGAGGAAGTAGCTCCTCCTCATTTGCGGTATGCAAGGATTGGCGACATGCTGCTGGAGCACAGCGCTGGACTGGCACAGCGCTGCCTGGCGGTGAAGGGCAGCTGGGCACTCAGCCTGGCTATGGCGAGCAGCCCAGCCTGAGGAGGAGGAAGAAGGTGGCGGAGGAGGAGAGTGGCGAGGCACCTACCTGGCTATGGTGGACACCATCTTCATCACCTTGTTGGGCGCTGCATCTGGAAGGCCCCAGTTGGGGTAGTGCCGCACCAAGGAAGCTCGAGGCAGAGTCAGGCATGGTGGATCAGTCAGCAGCGGCATAGCTGCTTTGGGTTGTCCTTTGGACAGGAGTGCAGCGCCATAGTTGCTTTGGGTTGTCCTTTGGACAGGAGGGCAGGGCCCTCAGTAGTCCGCCATAGCCTAGGCATGTGAGAGGAGGAAGAAGGAGGGAATCCACAGCTATGGTGGACTTGTTGTTGTTGTTGTTGTTGTGTCAGCAGTAAGAGGGAACTTCTGATATTGATTCTGGTTCATCTACTCATTGTTATTATTATTATTGGGAGAAGAATAAGATTGGCGAAGTGAAGGAGGAGGAGGAAGGTGGAGAGAGAAGGGGGGATTTGTCATTGGTCTTGCTGGTGTACGTCTTCTTCTTCTTCTTCTTCTTCTTCTTCTTCTTCTTCTTCTTTCTTTCTTCTCTGGTCTCTATCTCTTTGCAAGTGCTTCCATTTCTTTCGCAATTGGGTGGCATTGTCTTTCATTGTGAATTTGCACTTTGGGAATGACCAGGATCGTAACAGGTGGGAAGATGGGGGCAAAGAGAAAGGGAGAGAGGGAGAGAGAACACCATCGACACGAGACAGAGAATACAGAAACAAAAAGGAATATAAAAGATCAGCTTTATTATTAGAAGTCACAACCTGTCATGCTACATGTAGACAGCATCGTCATGCTGCTTGCCGGTTAAAAAATTAAAAAATCAACATTTCTTCATCCTCCTCTTCCTCCTCCTCCCCCCCTCCTCCTCCGCCTCCTCCTGCTTCTCCTGCTGCCTCCCTTCCCTTTCAAAGTCCATAGATCATTGTGGGTATAGTTCCGAATCGCCTTTGAACTTTGAATCAGAGATCTCACCTTCCATATTCCTCGTTTCCCCCCTCCCCTCCTGCCGCCCTTCCTCCCTTTATTCCTCCCTTCCTTCCTTCCTCGCAGTCATGGGATAGTAACTCCTTTTCCTTTCTTCCTCCCTCCCTCCCTCCCTCCCTCCCTCCCTCCCTCCCTCCCTTCTCTGTTCTTCTCAATCCCTTTCCATTTTTCCCATTTTCCTTTTCCCTTTTTCCCTTCTTCTAGGGTTTGTCCATTCTACTGTGTTTTACCTATGTACGGTGTGATAGAATTAGCTATATTTTATGCTTTTATTTGGCAAATTTCTCAAGACAGAACAGCTGACAGATCTAATATGGAGACTTGAATAATAAGGAAGATAATTAACAAAGTGCCCATTGGAACTGTTTGTAAGACACCATTCTGTTTCTCCATTTCCCCCCCTTTCTTCTTCTTCCTCTACCTTCTTTTTCCTCTCTTTCCCTCTTCTTCGCCTCCCCGTCCTCAGCCTCCTCCCTCTCCCCTGTCTCTTATACACATCTAGATGTGTATAAGAGACAGCTCAATCCCTTTCCATTTTTCCCATTTTCCTTTTCCCTTTTTCCCTTCTTCTAGGGTTTGTCCATTCTACTGTGTTTTACCTATGTACGGTGTGATAGAATTAGCTATATTTTATGCTTTTATTTGGCAAATTTCTCAAGACAGAACAGCTGACAGATCTAATATGGAGACTTGAATAATAAGGAAGATAATTAACAAAGTGCCCATTGGAACTGTTTGTAAGACACCATTCTGTTTCTCCATTTCCCCCCCTTTCTTCTTCTTCCTCTTCTTCCTCTTCTTCCCCTTCTTCCCCTTCTTCCCCTTCTTCCCCTTCCCCTGCTTCCCCTTCTTCTTCTTCCCCTTCTTCTTCTTCCCCTATCCCCTGTCTCTTATACACATCTAGATGTGTATAAGAGACACCCTTTCTTCTTCTTCCTCTACCTTCTTTTTCCTCTCTTTCCCTCTTCTTCGCCTCCCCGTCCTCAGCCTCCTCCCTCTCCCTCCTCCTTCCTTTCACCCCCCTGGTCGGTTACGGATCAAACGCTTCTTCTTTGTTCTCCTTGCTCGTCGGTGATATCTGCCACTTCTCCTTCCTTTACTTCTTGTTCTGCTTTCTACCCTCCCCGTCCCTGCAGCCCCCCCTCTTTTCCTTCTCTTTTTCAGCACTCACGGATAAGAGAGGTAGGCATGTGCAGCAGAAGGCTAGATTGATTGATTAGATAGATTGATTGATGGGGACGAGTGGATGGATGCATGGATAGACTGAACGCCTGTTTGAACTAATGGAATCGGATTTCTTGGGACTGGTTGGGAGTGTTTTTTTTTCATTTGTTAATGTGTTGATATATCAGAGAGGAGGACAGCAACGCTATACCTTTTTTTGTGCGACGGACAGTTCACACCGTATGCTTGCGGTCTCATGTCGATGTAGTACAATAGTCGAACTCCGATCGGTTTTGATGAATAATAATTTCACATTCTAAAAACAAATAAAAATGCCGAAATGAATAAAAGCTAGGCTGGTCCCCGGGCCGCCCGGCGGCCTGGCCGTCGCCCGCGGGGGGTGCCGGGCCGCCTGGTCGGTTGTCACGCCCGGTTGGCCACCGGGCGCCCCCAGCGCATCACTGTAAGTTTGTTTTTTTTTTTCGGCGCTGGGGCCCTTTTTGCCTCCTTCATAGACCGTGTGGACCGCGAAAAAAAAAAAACGGGGCCTGTGGGCCCAATTTCACCGATTTGAAATCGGGCCCCATCTGGATCGTCGGCCCAGATTGCACCGATTTCAAATCGGTGAGGGCGGGAACTACCGGCCCCTGTTCCCTCCACCGTGCTGAAGATGTGCCCCCGACGTCCCCCCTTCCCTGCCTTGCAGCACTGTGTCCGCCGGCCTTTGACGCGCAACTTCAACGCGCTTCTTCGACGCACCCCGCAAGCACCTGCCAACGCCCACCATCGCGCGTGACCCCGCCATCGCCTGCCAACGGCCGTCTTCAACAAGGTAAGGGACTTAGTTGGGGGGAAAGAGAGAGAGAGAGAGAGAGATCTTCTTCTTCTTCTTCTTCTTCTTCTTCTTCTTCTTCTTCTTCTTCGCTTCTACTTCGCTTCTTCTTCTTTTTCTTCTTTGCCCCCGTTTCGAGCCCCCCTTCCCGCCATCCTCCACCAGCCGTCTTCTTCTTTTTCTCCCCCTTCGCTGCTTCTTCGGCTCCTTCTTCTTCTTCTTCTTCTTCTTCTTCTTCTTCTTCTTCTTCTCCTTCTCCTCCTCCTCCTCCTCCTCCTTCACTTCTTCTTCTTCTTCTTCTCCACCTCCTTCCCTTCTTCTTCTTCTCCCCCTCCTTCCCTTCTTCTTCTTCCCTTCTTCTTCTTCCCTTCTTCTTCTTCTTCTCGTTCCCCTTCGCCAGTTCTTCTTCTTCTTCTTCTCG